GAATCCAGCAGCACGAAGGAGATGAGATCACTTTGTTTCGGCAGATGGGTGGAGCTAGGAACACAAGTGTAGAGATTGTAATGCTGAAGTCTTGAAGGCCTTTCGGGAAGCAGCTAGTGTCTCAGCTTTACACATCTTGCCGCTGCAGTGTCCATGGGACATAGAAATCTTAGGTGTGACTCTGAAATCTCAGCTGGTAGGCAACCTCGGCACTCCAGCTGTGGTGAAACTACCAATTCTATCAAAGAGTCATGCCTGTGGATGACAAGAGTCTTGCAATACTAGGGATGCACCAATACCGGTATTTTGGTACCGAGTACGATTACCGATAATTTTTTTTCCGTACTCGCCGATACCAATTACCGAGTAACGCAAGTCCCATTCAGGAAGCCAGGCGGCGTGTAATGACTCGCCATCCGGCTTCCCGATCAACAAGAAAGTCCCCTCTTACCTCGGCATGTCCAGCCCGTCACCCCCGGGACCTCTCCAGCCAGAACACGGCCTTCCTCCGTTACCCAGCCGGAGCGGTCTTGCCGGCCAATCATGGAAGCTGGGCGCCGTGTAATGACGCGGCGCCCTGCTTTCTGATTGGCCGGCTCAATGCTCCCTCGTCATGAGACGAGAGGGCATGGAGCCGCTTCCTGGCCAATCAGGAAGCTGGGCAGCGTGTAATGACACGCTGCCCGGCTTCCTGATACAGGAAGTACCGGGCTAGGCATCGGAGCATTTGGTCGAGTACGAGAACGCGCCAAAATACTCGGTATCGGCACCAGTATCGGTGCATCCCTATGCAATACCTCATGGACTTGTAGTTCCACCACAGCTGGAGTGCCGAGGTTGCCTACACCTGCTTTAAGGCCTTGTTCACATGGGTTTCAGGAGCAGTGAGCCTTTGCAAAGCATTCTTGAGCAATTTTGTTGAAACTATTAAAAAAGAACTTCTGATCCCCTGGCAGTGGGGAATGACAAGTCAGATGTCTAACATGCCTGTATGTAAATGAACTGGATAACATTTACATGAATGGGGAGGCAGAGTTCCACAATGCCGCTATAATAAGGGATGTGGCAGCCTTATGATGTCACCATTTAGATGACTTGGAAGGCATAGATCCGAGGGACAACAGTGCTGCAAATCTCAGCAGCGGGATCCTGGTGTTGTCAGCCCAGCACAGGAAATGGGAGGACTAGCAGGATCAACAGGTTAAAGTCAAACTAAAGTCAAATCCTTTTTAAGTTACTTGAAAGGCTGATGAAATCACTTACAATGGACGCTGCTCCTTGTTATTTGAGCGTTTTAGTTTACTGCAGAGTCATCAGGTCCCCTGAGCACTAGCCCTGCTTTAAGGTTTCTCCTTTCCCTTGCAGGGATCCTATGAAAGCTCCCTTGTGTGCGATAAAAAGCTGTGTGTGGCTCTGCAAACACACAAACACAGCAAGGCAAGCCAATCCCCTTCTCAATTATCCAAACAAGTAGATAGATGGCTGCTGCAAACTTTTCTGCCCCTTGTGATCTTGTACTGGACAGAAAGTTCAGAGAAGCAGAGCTCAGAGAGTTGGAGCTGTTTATATCTTGATGACTGGGTGAGGGGAATTGATCAAAACAGAATCGGCTTCTCTGTCTCATTTTCAAATCTTAACTGAACAAACTGAAGGGAGAAGCTGATTGGTTGCCATGGACAACTGCTCCAGATTTTGTCTGCTCCAGTTTTGATAAATCCCCCCCCCCCCAGTTTAATATTGCTTTAATAATTGACAAGGAAGGGGACACTAAAGACGGTGATAATGAAGGTAAACAGGTTGTTTCAGGAAATGCCGCATCTTGCCTGGACTTCCACTTAAAAGGAGAACTATGAGGGAAGTGAAAATCACTCAGCCTCATAGTTGGAGCCGACGTGTGACAATGAAACTTTCACACGTCGGCTCAATAGATCGGGAAGTGAGCGAACACATACCGTCACTTGCTCAATTCTCGATCTCACTGCAGAGAGAGGTCACTCACGGCTCCCTGCAGGGATTCCCCCCTCCCCTCTCCGATCCTCCAGCGCTGACCGGCGGAACGGACAGGGGGGAGGGGTGGGTACAGCTGGCTCTGCCTCTAGATAGGAAGAGCCAGCTGTCAATCACGCAGCTGGGCGGATCTCAACAGTAATGTCGGAATTTATCCCGGCTGCGGCGGTCTCAGTATATAGAGAGCTGTAGCTCGCGGTATACTGATCTTTGGGTGACGGGAGGACGCTAGTATATGTCCTCCCGTGACCCTTAGGAGAACTATGGGGAAAAAACACTTAGGGGTCTATTCACAAAGCTGCCGAAGGATCTGGCCGTAGCTTCGGCCGATCCTTCGGCTAGCTTTGGCACCAGGACCCCTTCGGTTCAGGAGAACCGAGGGGGTGCTGTACGGGCTATTCACAATAGCCCGTACAGCTCCCGATCACGGCCGAGCGGCTCAGTCGAGCGCTGAGCCGTGCTGAAAGACGAAGCTGGCCGAGCGGCCGGCCATTGGCCGGCCGACAGCCTGCTTCTGACAGCTGGGCGGAGCCAGCCGTGATCTTAC